GGTTTCACCATGTTGACCAGGATGGTCTCGATCTCTTGACCTCATGATCCACCCGCCTCGGCCTCCCACAGTGCTGGGATTACAGGCTTGAGCCACCGCGCCCGGCCGTGAAATTCTTAAATAATAAAATGTTATTCTTACTTTTGCCAATACATGTATTCATAGTGTTTTGTTCACTCATTCAGTTTTTTAACCCAAACATCATCCCTTTCTTTCTAACAGTTATTTCCATTTACCTACTTTGGGTAGCTTAAAACCAGAGAATTACTGAATTGCAAGGAACACAGAGGTTATTTAATTCAGTGTCCTATTATCCCTCTCATGGCATTTCTGATGAAGGGAACGTGCAGCATCTGTTACACTTTCTCCAAAGATGAAGAGATTTTATTTCTAATCTCGGCTCGCAGAACAGTGTATTTTTGGTTTTGTTTTTTAAAGTACTGATTTTTTGAGACAGAACATAGCCCTTGAACTTTGAATCCCGAATCTGCTCCTTCTTTACCAGTCCTGTGGCTTTAGGCAAGGCACTTAACCTCCTTGACCTTAAATTCTCATTTGCACAGTAGAGATCATAATAGGTGGTTACAAGGAAAACATGACATATATCAAAGTGCCTTGTGGAGAGCAGTTTCTCATCAAATATTACATCCTTCTTGAAAGCCCCTTTTATACTGAGACGAGATTTACAGTAGGTTATTCTGTTTCCTCTAGGAACTAACAAAACTAGTCTTAGTCATTTGTAACCTGTGACTAGCCGTCTAGTGCTAGAAAAGAACAGTAACTTAGGAAAGTTATTTTCTCAAATGCTAACTATCACATTTCTTCCCATCACATCTTTTACTAGTAACTTAGAAAAAATCAATGGTAACCTGCATTTGAGCAACTTATCAAGTCTCTGTATAGGGTTGTTCAGTCCAGCAGACATTTGTAAGTGCTTACAATGTGCCAAACCCTGGGCTAGTAGCCAGAGATTAAACTAACTTAGAGATACAGAATTTTTCCTTAGAAGTTAATAATCTTTTGAAAACTAGACATATTCTGAATGATTATATAACATACCAATATGCTAAATACTATGTTACATATAAATTGCTATGTGAATAAAACTGAAAATCACACGAAGGCATCTGTGGTGGGTTCTCTGCAGGTGGCAATTTTTAAAAACAGTCTTGTGACCATTCATTATTCAGTAAATATTTATGAAAGACCTACTATGTGCCAGACATTATATGCTAGTTATTGGGAACAAAAAAGTGAATTGTGGCGAGTAGGGGATAGGGGAGGGAGATGGAGAGTCCCTACCCTCATGGAATTTAGAATCTAATTTATGATATTCTAGTTCCACAATAATTTAGTATATTTTAGTATACTAATAATTTCAGTATATTCAAAGATGACCAACTTTCCCATTTGATACATGAATGGATAACTATTTATTTGTGTTACAGGCTCCTCGTTTTCTAAAAGTTGGGTATCTTATAGTATACCCACCCTATCTAAAATCCTAGTAACAAAGAAACAAAGAAGTTTTTTTTTTTTTTTTTTTTTTTGAGATGGAATCTTG